GAGAAGGAGAGAGAGGGGAGAGAAGAGAGAGAGAGAGAGAGAGAGGGAGAGCAAAACCTCAGTTTAGTATTTATGAATTGTAAGAGAGTTTTGTAGGAAATGAATAAATTTACAAATTAGTTGAATAATTTTTTTATGAACTCAACAATAAATAGATGGATGAATAATACGATAAAGGAATTATACAATGGAGATGGCTATTTTAATGATACAATCCTAAAGGATTTTGCTAAATTTTAAATTTTGATAATTTCGATTTAATTAAATTTTTTTTTTAAAAAAAGCTCAAAATATTATTTCCACTTGATTCGGTGCCTTTCTTCTTTTTAAAATTTAGTTCTATGATAGAAATTAATGAGAATTTGCGATTTAGCAAAACATTTTAGGACGAGAGAGTCAACTACTGACCAAAAGTTTCTCACTCAGCTAAGTTTGTCACATTTAAAGGTGAAAAAGCTTTGTCCTGCATTAATATAGAAGCTGAATGAGAAACTTCAGGAGTAAACTTGCAGAAGAGATGACCTTTTCACAGTTAAATTTAAATAAGTAGTTTCATTTAGGTCAATCTTAAACTTAAAAATTGATGATAACTTTCCCAAATATAAAAATCTCTGCTTTTCAAACAGTGTTTAGTCGGCGTGCATTATCATACGCTCCAATGAGAACATTTTGATAGTCCTGAAATTAAATTCTATGTGAAATGAAAATAACGTAAGTTGCTATTGGAAGTAAGAATGAGATAGCATGTACCAAAATCATTTTCTCCTGTGCATGAAGCAATCGTCCGAATCCTCGGCAACATCCGATCAGCCCAAAAATACCGGTAAGAACGGTACCCATAATACAGAGCACTTCACCCAATGCAAACACAAGCGCTGCATCTGATGTTGCACTGCGAACTGCAATAGTTTGATTTCATTCATTATTCACTTATTTAATTACTTAATCCTAAGATTCAATTCTAATGTCTTTGAGGATCCTTTCATTTTAGGCTTCTTTGCTTCTTAGAATTAAATATCATAAATAGCCTTAATGAGTCAAATGATTGCGTGATAATTGTAGTTAACATTTAACAAATAACTTAACTATCTGAAAAAAAGACCATTCTATCTATTCATTTTGTTAGATTAAAGGTCGAAGATTGAGGTTTAGTAATTGGATATATCTTTAGAATTATTGAATATTTTTAAGGATTAGAGATAAATTCGAAAAATTTAAAAGAATATACTAAATTCGTAGGATTGAGTGTTCAAATTGAGTGTGTACAAGGAATAGAAGAACCAGCACATGGTCGACATATAGACGAATGATTGAAATGTACACATTCCACAATAGGCAATCGAATGTGAATAACTTTGCCATCGTCCACTGTAATATGCTTTCATTAATTATGTTCCTTTACATTTCATCCTTATATTATTACATTACTCGATAATTTTATTTTACTCATTAAGATGTAAAATATTAAGTAATTAATATTATTAATATTAAAGTAACTTTAAAGTAATTAACATTTATTTGATTTAATTCTATAAGTTACAGTGAACTAGTTTTTAGTGATGATAGATCAACATATTAACTTTATGTATAGTTGATGAGCTTGTCTGAAAGTGTATGCTTTACCGATTTGCTATACTCTTTGCCAGAATATATTAATTAATTAAGATTGATACGGAATGGTTTTCCTGGAGTAAATGAACTTTGGTAGGTTTTATTCGAAAACCTTCGGTATTTAGCTCTCATTTAATTTAGATTTTGTATATGAATAACTTACGCTCTCATTCCGATATAAGCGCAGGAAAGCAGATAAGTTGCCCATGTGGAAGATATGATACGGAATCCGGTCAGTAACATTGAACTCATCAAACATATTATCAATAGCTGAATCAAGACTTACCTTAATTTGCTATTGCGTAGTTATCACCGTAAGTTTAGTGAATACTTCAATCAGTGAATATTTGATATTATCGTTAAGAAATTAAAAAATTTTTGTTTCCAGTTTCTATATGATAGTACTTGAAGTGTGAACCTATATGTAAGATATAAATGTCAACAGTACATACAATAATGTTTCAGTTTTATTCTCCATCTTTAGGAATTCCTGTAAAAATTGTTTCTAAATTCTTTTTTTTTTAACAAATTTTGATTGCTATAAAAAATTCTAATTTTATATCAAAATAGTTAGATGACATACAATGGATAGCATTGCCTGAGCATTAGCAACTTGTTGTATGAATGACCAGTCCATTCCGATACAACTGAAACCGATATTTGGTCCAGTACCATCGTGTTTCAAGTTCAATCCCAATGTATTCAACACATTTTCGAAATGTTTTTTCGGTTGCTGCAAAAAATTTTTCAAGAAATTTCGAACTTAATCTTATCTCACGTTCTTATCAAAGGTCAATTGTTTCATGTTTTTATCAAAAATCATTTCCATTATATAATATTATCAAAGATTCCATGATATGTTACGGTAAAGAGATACGGAAAATAGGCGAAAAAATAATAAAGATTGAGAAATTGTATCATTTAGCAATAAATGAATGATGCAAATTAAATAGTACTGAATAATTTGTTATCAAATCTTATTTTTTTTTTTAAAAATATGAAAAAGAAATGCACAGATATTTTGGAAGATTTTTTTTTTTCATTCTTGTAAACTTTGTTTTGGAGGATTAATAGCACTGTCGTATTGGTATGCAAAAAGAGTGACATTCTCGTGTTGACATCTAAAATAACTGTTTACTTTTAAAACATGCTTTCTTTCTTCTCTCTTTATTCTGCAAGAATCACTAAATTCTTTGTTGTATAATTTTCTTTTTTTTTCCGCCAAGGACATCTAAAAAATAAGTATCAGATTCATTTCTTGATGTAGGCGTGACAACAATCGAGAAAAAAAAAAAACAATAATCTCTCGATTATACCAAAGAATGCTCAATGAGGTGGAACTGCGGGATTTAATTGCTCGAATATTTTCTCCTATCCTCATTTGTATTCTGTTCCTTGTTGAAGAGAGCAAAACCATTTTAAATGAGTTTAACAAATGCATTCAATGGAACAAATAGCAGCAGGAATTTAGGGGAAATTAAAGGAATTGAAACAAACTGTGCATTTGATTTTTGATACGAAATAAGTGATAAGATAATCTGATGATAATTAAAGAAAATAAGGTAAAATTTCCAAACAAAATTTAACATTTTTTTTTTAAATTTTAGAGATTTGTGAAGATTTAAATGCATTACAAAGTTTGCTCAGTTATTCACAAATTGAGCATAAATAATTGAACTGATAACAAAACAGAAACTGCAAAAATGATATCAGTAATAGGTAATTCATTGAGTAAGCAGGTATTTTACTAAAAGGAAGTGTTTCATATTAACTGTAATATAATTGATGTACTTCAAAGACAAATGAATTTGTGGTAAATGATTTAAGTAATTAAAAACTAAGGAAGGATGATGGTGAGAATTGCTAAGTAAATAAGAAGCGTATAGTGATATCCATTTATAAAACCTAAAGACTGCTAAAGAAATAAGAAAGAATATATCAGTAATCACTGATAAAATATTTCGTGACGCTAATAGTGGTAGCAAATAATTTTGACAATTTTTGATTACCTCATTGCTTTTGTTGTTATCAAAGTTCTCGGTAGCAACTTTATCGTTATCATTTGCCTGACACTGCTGCTTATTCAATTCTTCAGATTTACCACTTTTGAATTCTAGTTTTGTCATTGCTTAAACAAGATATATAATTACCTGAAAAGGGAATAACACAGATGAAGTTCATATATGTCCTAATTCTTCACTATACATCAAGTGGACATCAAGATAAACAAAATTTGCCACCAAAACTACTTCGTCCTCATTTTTCTATGAAAAAAAATTTTAAAAGAAGGGAGAATTTAGGAGTACAACTTGTAATATACATTCATTGTCATTTCAGGGACAGATATTTGTTTTTCTTAGGAATTGAAAGTTAGAAATAAATCTATTGCTGTAATAATTTACAACGAGTACAGTAAAGTTCGCATTCCAGAACATAACCGGGAAGATTATGCGGGATATATAATGATAGCTAGATTATGCGGGATATATACTGATAGCTAGATTATGCGGGATATATACTGATAGCTAGATTATGCGGGATATATACTGATAGCTAGATTATGTGGGATATATACTGATAGCTAGATTATGCGGGATATATACTGGTAGCTAGATTATGTGGGATATA